TGCGTTTCAGTTTCCCGGAAAAAATTCAGGGAAAATTAGGGACAGTCTGTAGGCGCACTGTGAAGCCGTGTTCGGACCCCGAAACGAGTAAGGACCCCTCACCCTATTTCCTATCACGGTATTAAAGTTCAATAATGATAAAACGGTAATTCTTGAATCAACGAATGTGTGAAATTGCTTAAGGTCGCCAATGGAGCCCGAGTCTAGTGTGTTGGTCGGTTAACTGTTATTTGGCATATTTTACGGTTTCAAATGCAGTATGAGGTCTGATGTTTTTATTTCATAGTTTCGTGTGCATATATCACTGTTTTATTGATTATGGGTTGAATGACTGAGAACCCGATGTTGTATGTTGTCTTGTTTGGCATAAATTACTGGTTGCTTGTTTGTGTGTGATTTGATGATGCTGACTGAGGAAAAGGGGAATGAAAAGTTATGTAAATTGATAATTGTATAATGTGGTCAGCCTGACTAGATATCTTGGGAGATGGTGGACGGACCGGGTCCGTAGGGAACCCTACCGGGATTGTGGTCTCTCATACCGGACGGGGTATGGAGACCTTATGTGTTTTGGCGCCCATACCGGACGGGGTATGGGGACGGCCCGTTTCACCCTCATACCGGACGGGGTATTGAGGTTTATAGTTTTGGCGCCCATACTGGACAGGGTATGGGGACGGCCTTGGAATCTGATTACAAGTGTTAAAGGTTCACGGGTAGCGGGACTCCTATGGATCCCCATGGATACTAATAGGCTGGTAAATAAGGAAAAATATGTTGTGTAATGATTGAATTACAAAAGGCGTGATAAGTATTATGTTATACAGTTTATATGATTTCATGATGATGATAATGTTATTGCTTTCGTATACGGTTTTATGATTTTCACCGAGGTAAGTGGATGGTAAAGGTTTTATTATTGATAAAATGATTTGTTGTAAATTATGCTCCATTGGTCTTTTTGTGTTTTCTACCCATATTTACCTCCGTGACGGTGAGATATCGTGATGTCTTTACTAGGCTAGTGTAGCTCTTTCCTTATTTAATCATTTCAGATCAGGAAGACATTGTTCCCGAGCCTGTTCCGCAGGAGGACGACGAAGGGGACGCCTAAAGACTCCATAGTCATATTCATAGTTTTTACTTTCGAGTTTCTCCTTTAGTTAGTTTGATCTTTTATATTTTTTGAGCACGTTTTTGGTTTTAGTGTAAGGGATGTTAATCGAAATTTTGACTTCGCTTCCGCATTTGATATTTTTAATACACATTTCATTTTAAATTTCTGGGGCCGTTACATCTTTCTTATTTACTTTAATATAAGTGTTATTTCGCTTTCTGTTTTCAATATGTGATTTTGATATTTGTGCATCGCTCATTATAGAAAAAATTTATTCTAAAAATATATGCGTTATGTTAGGCTTGAATCTGGTCGCATATAACTATTTCGTATTTAGGTGTATTGATGAAGTGATAAGTGTGTACCCATACATAACTATTATGTATTCATGTGTATGGGAAAACAGTCTGATCTACGTGCTCTAACCATTCCGTGTTCGAGGGGTAGCTGTGTTTCAAGGTACTCATGTATATTGTTCCGTATTTGAGTACATGGGGAACCAGTGATAAGTATATGTACCTACGCATAATGTGTGGTAATTGATTGATCCTCCATAATAGTGATGAAGTATACAACATGAATCTATTTTCTGATTTGTACATTTGTCTTCTAATTCGTATTTATTTTAGAAATATTATATGATATATGTTTTGTTATATGTAAAAAAATTATATATTGTATGTAATATGCTGTGATTTTATAATATCATTTATTGGGATATTTTATCTGATCCCTTTATCACATTTTAAATACTGAAGATACTACTACATAGTGAGCAGTGATATGGAGGAAATTTTTGAAGCTAGACTCTTATATTAAAGTTAGTGTTTCATACTTTTATTTAGTAATGTAAGTAAGAAAATTTATAGTTTCGTACATATATTTATATTTTACATTTAAGGGATGTAACGCTTTTGCGACTCTTTTATGATTAATAAAGTTAAATTATTTTATTTAACTCGAGTTTATGTGATTTAAGTAAGTTTGCTCCGCTTATTACACTATAAGATGAGGTGTGATCCATGATAATCTATTCATCACAGATGATTTCTACTTGATAATTATGTCATGTTTTCCTATTTTCATTTAGGATGATTTTTGGATTTAATTTACATAGTAAGAAATGAGAAAATTTTCAGCAAAAGGTTTAAAAAGATTGACCTATTCTAATACAAACTAGATTGTAGTAAAAAATATCGATATGATCTTATTCAAACTGAAATTAAAATTATATTGTCTTGAATCTAGACACTCACCCTTAATTGGTCACTGGTCCTATTTGATTCTATTCCATCCTCATAAAAATTGTTACCAATAGCTCAGACATCAAATATACTTATAAACATTGGATCCGTTTACGTTTATGCATGATCCATATAAAAAAAAAAACATATTCAACTCTCTAATCTCAATGTTAATTGTGCAGTGTTTAGTGTAAATAATATTAATTTTTATTTTTATTTGTCTTCTAAAAAATAAGAAACTTTGTAAAAATTATAATATTTTCATTAATTGTGAGTATCCAAGAAATCTACCTATGTGGTATCTAACACCCAAATATAAATTACTAATTTATGATTTTCTTTTTAGATTCAAATAATTAATTAATGCATAATTTAAACCCTAAAAAATCATTAAATTGAAATTTGTCCCTAAATATATAAATGATTAATATTAAGGACCCAAAATAAATAAATAAAAATAATTTGTGGTATTTTTCGAATTAAAATTTAATTATGGGAGGCAAATGAAGAGAAAAATTAATTATTGGGGCTATTTTGCAAGTTCTAGAACACGTGCCACCTCAGGAGGCAAAAGGGCAGGGGACCAACCGAAGGTTGCCGTGTGCCAGCTGACCTGCAGGTGTGGTCAGCCATGCGGGCACACTGCTGTCAGCAAATCGGACGGTCCTGAGCATTTGATGCTGATACAATGGTGATGAGATTGGGGAACGGATCCAACAGTGCACAACCGTGCAGAGGGGATTGATTATGATCCAATAGCTCACGGGCAAGATATCGATCGAACGGGTAACATGCATTCTCGTGGATCCAACGGTCACACAAATAAACGGTCCAAATTTTTGTAGGAAGACGATCCAACAGCTACGCAAGCAAACGGCCCAAATCCACAAAAACGCGATCCAACGACTAGCAATGCAAGTGCACGGAAATTACCCATTTGCCATTATTGAATCCATATCCTATGGACCACACATTGCCACGTAGGCTGCAATCGTGCGGTCCGAATTTCACAAAGAGCAGGTTTAAAAACCCAAGCCCTACCTAGCTCACTCGAGGGAAGAAGAGGAAAAAAAAAGAAAGAAGAGAAAGAGAGTGACCGAGAGCGGCCACCCACATCAGAGAGAAGACAGAACAAGGGAAGGAATGGGAGAGGAAACATGTTGGAAAGGAGCCTACCGCAAAGGGGGAGACGTTTCGCAACCACCCTAAGCTGGAGTCCGTGAAAATCAGTCGAGTTTTTCGGTGACCTCACCCTCAGCATGATCAAACCAGAACTTTCGTGAGTGGTTGTCTAGAGCGTTTTCTTCCCTTTTAAATTAAATCGAATGCTCTAGAGATAGTTGGCATGTAGTAGAACAACTTCATGTCCAAATTGAACCAAAACCGAGTCTTGTATGCATGAACAAGCTCATGCAACTCTAGGGTTGGTCACTGACCTAAGAAGAGTATTTTTCGTGCAGGTTTTTTCTCAACTTTGGGGATGTTTTGGAGCTTGATTCACTTCCTAAACATTCCAAAATTGTAAGTATAAGCAAAAGGTAACCGGAAGCCTTCATAACATCGGTTATTACCAAATTTTATCAATAGTAGATGGATTTACAAGATGAGGGGGTTCATGAACTTGTTTTAAAAACCAGTTCTGGACCCATCCAGGCGGCTGAAATCACTGGGAAAGATCTAGAATGAGTCTGTTTAAGTTTATTTTATTTTAACTCCATTTTCTTGATTTTGTTGTGTGATTGCATGATTTGCTTGATTTTGTTGTGCAATGGCATATATGATGAAATTATAAGGTTAGGAATGTGTTTCATGCTGAAAAATTAGAGAATGCAAGAAAGTGTGATAAAATATGAAGAAAAAATTTAAGTAGATAAGAACAAGAAAGGAAAAATTAAATAAAAGAAAATTTTGGTGAAAATTTGTAAAATAGGAGAATTTGAAATTAAGCTAGGAATAAAATAAATTAGATTATGAATAAAACATAAATAAAAAATAAAATAAATAATTATAATAAAAATAATATGAAAATACTAATAATACATATAAGAATTGTAAAATAA